GGGAAAACACAAGGGGGTGGTATAGTGGCTATATTAAATATAATACTGAAAACAGTGAAGCCGGATGAAAGAATTTACGTATCGATTTACAGAAATCTTAACTTCCTATTTTTCGAAACTGCAGACCGTTTTCCCTCTCAACTTCAGTTCCTTTCAGACAAGTGCTATGTGGGGATTTCCGTTTACAAAAGTGATAGAGTTTCTTAAGGTAAGATAAGAAAATCATATTCCTCCACTCTACAGGGAATGTTTTTTTTTTCTGAAAAAGGAAGGGATTTTAAGTACAATGGAAAAACGCAACCGAGACATCAACAAGACTGGAAAGAATTAATTACGTCAAACTGTTTGCAAAGAGAAGCTGATTATCATATTTTCCTTGCTTCAGGCTTTAATTAATATTTTTGAGTAGAATTTCCACGAACTTTGCTGTTTATCAAATGCATTGGGTGTTGATATTTTCATCACGTACGAATTACCTTCTAATAAAAAAGAAAAAGTTCGAAAATAAACTCTAAGGAAATCAAATTTGGTGACCAGTTCTTGTCAACGGGGCTTTAGCACCTGTACTCAGTCTAATTAAGACACAACATAAAGATAAATACACCCTCCCAACACTGGAAAGGAGAAAATACGAAGATTTGTGTCGATACCCCTATTACAAACAGATATACCATCCTTTGGGTGATTCTAAATTATGTAATATCGTATTCCTGCTTAAGAAAGTCAAGAAAGCCATCTTGTTAAAGTACAATATTGGAATTTCTCGGTTGCTAAGTTTACATATAATTATACTTGTGACGAATTTAGGTTATATATTTTATTTTAAACCGCATGTATCCATGCAGCGCCTCTATAATGATTATAATGATTATAATGGTATCATATAACTCGCTGACAGGTTGATCATTAATTGGTCGTCTTTGTCTTTAGGTTCTCCTTCATTTCGGCGATGCATCGTCATCGTTAATAGAATGCTTCACATCTATTGCAGCTTGTTTTATTGCGATCGAAGAAAAGCAAGTACACAACAGCTTTCAAACTTTTTCTCATGAGAACTTGTGACGATTTTGGTATTCTAGACAGACAGAAAACATTTGTTAACCTTTTTGTATTAGTTCCTGATAATTTTCTCTAAAACACTAAAAGAAAATTTTGAAAAAAAAGTTGTTGAACATGGTTATAATTAAGCTGTCTATGAAAATGCTTCCTTTGCCAGATATATGAAGATTTCAGCGTAGATTTCCTTCTTAACATGATCAGTTCGTGTGGTTGTTTCGATGTGGTGCTAAAGCTGAACAATTAACAGGCGCCACATTGGCTAATAAATGGGTGAAACATTGTTTTATATCTAAAAATGCGTTGCTCGTTGAAAAAAGAAAAGTGAGAAAGGAATTGAGAATGACGTGAACGCGACGTGATTTTGGACACTCATGGCCGATACGTGATTCTCGTCCCTAGTGGCCGATTTGTGATTTTGGACCCTACTAGCTGATTTGTAATTTTTCACCCTAGTAGCCGATTTGTGATTTTGGACACTAGTGGCCGATTTGTATACCGGACCCTAGAGACCGACTTGTGACTTTGGACACTAGTGGCCAATTTGTAATTTTGGACACTAGTGGCCTATTTATGATTTTGGACAATAGTGTCCGATTTGTAGTTTTTGACCCTAGTGGCCGACGTTGTTTCAGGACCCAGCTGGCCGATTTCGATTGTCCATACTGGTGGCCGATTTGTGATTTTGGACCCTAGTGACTGATTTGTTAGTTAAGACACCAGTGGCCAATTAGTGATTTTGGACCCTAGTTGCCGATTTGTGATTTTGGATCCTGGTGGACCGTTTGTGATTTTGGACGCTAAGAGCCAAGCCGATGTGGTTTCAGACCCCGGTGGCCGATTTCCGATTGTCTATTTTTGTGGCCAATTTGTGATTTTGGACCCTAGTGACCGATTTGTGAGTTTAGACCCTAGAGGCCAATTAGTGACTTTAGACCCTAGAGGCCGATTTGTGATTTTGGATCCTGGTGGACTATTTTTTATTTTGGACGCTAAATGCCAATTTGTGATATTGAACGCCTGTGGCCGATATGAAACTTTGCACCCTTGTGGCCGATTTGTGATTTTGGACCCCAGTGGACGATTTGTGATCTTGGACCCTAGAGGCCGATTTGTGATTTTGAACACTAGCGATCGATTTGGAATTTTGAACCCTAGTGGCCGATTTGGAATTTTAGACCCTAGTAGCTAATTTTAACTTTCGAAAACTACTGGCCGATTTATGATTTTGGACCTTAGAGGCCGATTTTTGATTTTGGACACCAGTAGACGATTTGTGAGAGAGCAGAGATCTTCTCATTCATTTTGCCTGTTGGACTGATTCTGATTTTCAACTTCTTTGCTCTGGGATACACTAGCTTTCATATCATTAGAATTCGGCAGGTGAGTACAATATATACTATGCTTATTTAAACAAAGGACATCGAAAGCCAACCGTCTGTCTGTCTGCGCTTTGCCTATTCAACTGTTTGTCCGACGGCTTGCATGACCTACACAACACCGCAAACAAATCTGAATTTTAAAACCAGGGTTATTCACATTTTGATTATTTCAGAGAGCCAGACAAGTGACCAAGCAACAGCAAAGCTCTAACGTGGCTTTGCTCTTTGTTAAAATGGCCTCAGTGATGGGTGTGACATGGATTTTTGGGATTGCTGCCTACAGGCTCTTTCATTCCAGTCTTCAAGGTAAGTGTTTGGGCCAGAGAAAGAATGGAACGTTTTCTTCATTGGAATCACCAGACACAATTGTTCCGACGTAGTAGCTGACCTTAAATTAGAAAAAACAGTCTCACTGTAATAATTGCTGGTTGATCACATTAAATAGTTCCTATGGCAATGACACTAAAATATGTCATAAGCAAGAACTACTGGACGGAATAAATCAAAAGTAATGAACTTTTTTCTAAAGTTCTAAAGTTTCATATTTTAGGGTTACCTACCCCAGCATATAACCTAGAAAAATGTATGGATTCGTTTCCAACAAGACTGTTAGGCTTAATGCCAGCCCAAAAAAGATGTTGAAATGTCTACCAGATAAAATTTTAATGAATTTAGGAGCAAAAATTGGTCTCGATTAACGCAATGAAGAGATCATTTATTTCAAAATAAGAGTCTGCAATATATTCAGATTTTCAATAATTTCAAAATTCTCTAAATGGAAGTCCTTTGGACAGTATTTTGCTTTTTCTATATTTTTAGAGTGCGTAGAGTGCGCACCTCGATAGCTATAACCAATCTCCAATGAATGATTGTTTTATTAGATTTCATTAGATCCTGAATGTTTCGATATTTACAGCCATTTTTTGGCTCCGTAACAGCTGGTGCTATGCATTTCCTCATAATCTGCTTACAGAAAACCAATCAGAACACCAGAAATGCAATACTCAGAGCTGAAAATTTGAGAACTAAAAATTATTAAAAACTTTATGAAATTAATTTACATTAGGAGAGTGCGTAAGCATTTGATTGTATAAAATTGATTTAAAAAGTGAACGCTTACAAATTTTGGCGTTACTACTCCGTTTCAGGTGCACATTTAGCATGTTCCATTTCTTGAGTGTTCTTACACAGAATGTCCGACCACCTTCGTTTTTCTCTTTTATTGTATTCTAATAATATTCTTATGATCTTCCTCATTGGCAGTCGATTTGACAGTTAATTTCCTACAGCACCCCCTTTATTCTTTGTTGTCAACGACAGCTCATCCCTTCTTTCCTCCTAAAAGTCATTTGATTCCTCCCGAAATAAGTCTAGGGACTGGACCCTAAGATGCATTGATTTATATGTGATTCTACTGACGACAATTAAATCAATCGGAAACACCAGTGAAAGAAAGGGAAAACAAAATAGAACATTTCACCTGAAAGCGTTTTTCTCAGTGAGTATAAAATTTCTTTGATTCTTAATTTTCATGATCGCAACTCAAGAAGGCTTGAAAATGGTCATGACAATTACCTGGCGCTTAAGTATCTTTCGAAAAAAAAAGATTACATTTACGAAAATAGCATTTGAAAAGTTTATGAAAGTTCTATTGCACGACTTTTTGTCGTCCTGATATAATACAACAGGGAAATGCAAATGGAAAGTTGTATCTATACTTTTTAGTAATGATTTAGTGTTAAAAATCCAGTATAGTAAATTAGGCTTAGCTTATTTGCATGCAGAGAACATTTTTTTCCTAATTTTTTTTTTTTTGTCAAGCGACAGAACATTCGGGAGGTTAATTCAATACGACTTTCTTTTAGAAGAAGATATTGCTCTGATGATGACGATAGTCTTCGGAAGAAAACAACGCTATTGTTTTTCAGATAAACAAACCTCTTAATTTCTTTTCATCATGATTTTTTTTAACTATTTGCCTATAACTCCACATTCTCCTCTCCTTCCCCTCAGCCACTGTATCTGCTCTTTAGTAACGGCAAAATTTCAATGTTAACGATATACAATGGCCGATTATATCTGCACAAAATTCGTCTTAAGCCATACACTAAAATCACCGGCTTCTGAAACCATAGTTCACTGACTCAGTGACGATTGCAATGTATTGCGTTATCTTACTGTGATGCCCTACGTCATCACAGTAAGGACATTTCTATCCCTGAATTGCACTGTGATATCACGTTCCAGTTTAAAAGAGAAACAAACTAATTGTATATGTGTTTAATAACATACTGACTGTATAGCCGAATTAAGTTTCCCGATGCACAGCTTAATTAATGATGGAATCATTTGATGCTAGGGGAGACTGGATTAGAGAGCTTTTCTATTGAGTGTCACATAACCAAAAATCAAATGAGTCAACAATCAAACAGAAAAGAGGAAGAAAACATAATGACAAAAATAATGATTACTGTGTATAACCATGCAAAAAACCTCAAGCGCAGGAATTATGACCCAGTAGTGATTGATTATAGTTTTACATATGATTTGTTACGACTATGGTCCAAGTTTTCATGTTTTCAATTTTGTATGCCTCTAGGTCATGCCATAACACTCTAGTTTTCCCAAGGTGTGGTATCCTTCGTCATGAAGTTGTGCCTGTCCCGTGTCACCAAATCTTAGCTGTTTGACGGGAAGGTGGGACTTATTGGTAAGAAAACCGCTGTCTTCCCGCCAATTCTTATCATTTTTATCACAATTACACTTCAGTGATTGGTCATCGGCGCACGATCTAGTTACACCACATGCACAGCCACCAGTTGTTAGGTTTGCTCCCCCCCAGTACATCATGTTCTGGCCGTCACGTGAAACCCACCATGAATATCCATATTTAATTAATGTGGCGTGGAAACATTCGTATTTGATGAACTGTTGACAGTTATCAGAGGCTTCCGTCAGAGCTTTTAACTGAGATATGCTGGCAGATCTGTAATGAACATCAACGGAATATTCACCGCGCTTTTCGTATCCTTTCACCTGCGTTCTGTTTTCCATGTCGTGACCGACGACTGTCACTCCAACGCCTCCTTTGTCAGTCATGTTACAGTAAACAGGGAATGGATCCTCGCCAAGAACACCGTCAAGATCGATGAGGTAATCACCACTGACGTCGCTGATGTTTGCCTTCACTTTTGTGCAGGTTTCAGGGTATTTGACATAAACGATGACACTAGTTTGAATTGAGCTGAATGCGTCAGTCACATCGCAAGTGTAGGTACCAGAATGAGATATGTTAGCAGAGAAAATGATTAAAGCATTCAAGGAGGAGTCAACAACCGCCCCTGAAGGTAAGGAGAAAGTTCCATCATACATCCACAGGATCGTTGGCTTCAGGTTGCTTGATGTAGAGCAAGGCAGGATAAGCTCTTCAGAAGCCTTCACAGTCACATTGGACGGAGGCTTTATGACAAATTTGAGACTTGAATAAACATGAAGGATAACTGACGATGAGTTGTGACCCCAAGGGTTTGCTGCAGTACACAAGTAAGAGCCGTTGTCTCGTGCAGTGATATTCTTTTTTTTATTTTCACTTAAAGCACAAATACTAGAATAATACAAACAAATACAAAGTTAATTACACTAACGCTTACGCTACTCACTAACACTAATTACGAAAAACTGCGTTACATTACATTCACAGTCGGCTAGATTTAATTTATGTTGTGGTTATATAATAATATAAACCTAATTTGTACAAATACTTCTACATCAAATTCCTTTTTTGGTAGAACGACTGTATATACAACTGCGTCTATAACTGTTAATACCCGATACTCATCTATTACAATAACATGTTTACAATAACATGTTTTCCCATTTTTTATAATGAATAGATTCTTTTTTATTCTTTTTTGCAATCAAAAATTCAAATTTCCGAGTTTCAGATGTTTTAGCCTTCAGTAAGGATACAGACGGCTTGATATTTTTACAACGACATGAATAAATGGTATATTTTCCAAGAATGATTATGTGATTTAACAAACAATTCCCAGGGATATTATCGGAAATACCAAAGAGGATTGTTACCTCATCAAGCTTATCAATTTTCATATTGTAAGTATTTAACCAAGAAATAACCGAAAGCCAAAAGTTTTTAGTGTAGGTACAGCTGATTAGAAGATGCTCAAGAGTTTCTTCGTGATCTCCACAAAAGGTACACATCGGAGAAGGAACCAAATTCATTTTATATAGGATTTTATTGGTGTAGAGAATACGATTTAAGATTTTGTATTGAAAGGCTCTCGTTCTAGTGTCAAGAGTGACTCCACCCGGCAATAGATAAATATTTTTCCAGTCTATATTACCTGAAATATTATATACGGAATTAAACTTAGATTGGGCAGTCGGAGAAATCTGGATTCGTTTGACCAGGGTGGAATAGATTGATTTTGAAGTCATTCTAGTTATATCTTGAACATCGTCTGAAACAGTTTTGTCAATTCGGTTGTTATTATTCTCTCCAACGTTAAGGAGCTGTTTCCAGTTAGGCGGAATGGCGGAAAAAATGCCTTGTAGGAGTAAGTAATCTGACAAGGAGAGATTTTTCTCTCTAAAAGCGTCCCACCTGAAGTGATATTCAGGATGGTGAGATTTCCTTCACTAACAATGGTCCTCGCGCTGGAAAGAGTTCCATCAGACCTTTTCCATGTGATCCTATTTGGTCTAGGATTACCTGTCACGTTACACATGGCGATAACGTTCCTACCCTCGACGGTTTCAATTATTTCTGGAACAACTTCCACCAAAGGTGGTCCTAGAACACCAAAATGATAATAATCCATGGGAATAACGTAAATAGTGTCATTAATGTATCGATCAAGACCATCATTTAGATAGTAACCGTCGTCCTATGACGAAGACTTTTATGCAGTCAGCTTCATTTTACGTTATATCAGTCGATCACTAAAAGCAAGAGGCCAAGAGAGGTCCTTTGCAGGAATTCTTTGTCCATCCCAGCAATTTAAGACCGAAAAAGCCAATTAAGACCTCATATATAATTATGTGACATAGCTTTCTCCCTCACGCCCCTATTCTCCCTCTGATACCTTAAAAATTTCTCATTTATTTAAATTCAAAGATCCTCCAAACTTAACAACTTCTAGAAGAGAAATGCACGATTATTGTCAATGATCACGCCAATGCACCCCTGAAGCTCAGTTGTTAATGTTATTTCAGACTCTATTACCTGTAAATACATGAATGATACTAAAATCAATCAACTCAACATACCTTCAGTGCAGTTTTCTGCCAGTAGTCCATTTTTGCAAACACAACGATAACCCTTCTTGGTGAAACCAGTTTGGCATCGCTTTGTTGATGGACAAAGCGCATTGGGACAGTGGTTCTAGGAAGATATAAACATATTTATAGAATCTATCGCTCTGGTATTCAGCTTCTTCCTTTCTTTCAGCTAATCCATCCACACAGATTCACCCATTTATTTATTAACTTATTTCAAGATGGACGCATACATCCACCAACCCATACATGTGCTAGTGCATGCATGCATTTATACATTCATACATTCCTTTATTCATCATCATCTTTTCCTTCTACAGGAAAGAAAGTTTGAACGTGCAGTTTCCTTCACCACACAACACGAGAAGAAAAAAAATTCAAATATCTATTATTTTCTTTTGATTTTCTCTTTTCGTGCACTTAAGATACATAATCGCTTTATCGACAAAAATCAATGGAATGACTAGTGAGGATACGTCAACTCACCTTAAATGATTTGTAAACAGTCCCTTTTTTGTATCTTAGATCCTGGTGATTATTTATGTGATCTGAATCCCTCAATTCGCACAAAAGTTTTCCATTCTGTTGTGGTTTAAATTGTAGGAAACACAGTCAGCTTCCATGAAGCAGTTCACTTCACATGCGCTGGCTGTCTCAATCTCCATCATTTTGAAAACATGTTTCTCGAGGATAAAGTCCTGCTTTGCGGGGTTCATCTCTACTTTCCGATAGTTTTCTAAAAATTAAGCAAAATGAAACTATACTTTATGTATCTAGAAGAGCAACCTATTCTTGCTTGCACGCTTCAAAATCGTTCGTCTTGTGAAACTTTCTTTTTTACTATAATAATTTCTGAGACTTAAAAACCAGTTTCCATAAAGTTTTAACCATTACTTCCATCTTGATATTGTGATGATGGATGAACACCTGTTCCGAAAAAAATCGTTGTAGCAATTTATCAAGGTAAACGATAGAAACTATGTTCTTAGCGATTTTGATCGATGATTTTTAATCCGGCCAAATCGCCGAAGTTGCCCTATTGAAGCCAGCACTAGCGTGAGTGAGTATTTCAAATAAAGTGTTTAAAAGAAGAGAAAAGAAAGGTTTTGAAAAACTGATGTAATAAAATGTACGTCAATGAATATGGAAGCAATATTCGCAGTTATAAGCACTACTTCCCGTTCAGGCCTGAATTATATTCAGGTCTTATTTTTCACTTCTGCTTAATTAAGTAGTTTTCGTAATTGCGAAGATCGCTTTCATATTCATTTCTGTATCTGAAGTTCGCATATATTATTTCCATATATTCACGGTTAAAAGCTACGCCAGGTGGCTTTTATACTCACCTAGCTCTTTACCGCTGCAAATAGCAACCAGAAATGAAAAGAGTAACAATCCTGACCATTTCATCGCTAACTTGTCTGTTTTCTTTGTTACTTTACGAGCGAGATGGCGAATGAAAGAGTAACGTCTACTTTTCGTTTAAAATACGGCTGCTTACCCAAGTGTGTGTTTTGCCAAAAAATAAGTAAGTTTAAATTTTTAATGGAACAGTATTGGACCAACAATAGGCGATGTCATAACAGTTACATACTTAAATTTGATACGGCAAAACTTTGAAGCCGGATGAAAGAATTTACATATCGATTTACAGAGATTTTCCTATTTCTCAAAACTGTAGACCGTTTCTGTCTAGGTCGCTGTGATGATATTAACTTAATTAATCTCTACAATTGAAATTGCTTCCCCCTTCTTTATAATTTAAAGAAAAAACTTTTAGGTTGTGTTGCTTCTGAACACTCAACAGCGGCCACAATTGGTTACAATTTGATTTCATCTTCAGTTCCTCTTCAGACAAGTGAGGATTTCCGTTTACCAAAGTTATGCACGTTCTACAGATAGGAGAAGAAAATTATATCCCTCCGCTTCAAAAGGAATCAATTTTTTTTCTGAAAAAAGCAGTGATTTAAAGTGTAGGGGAAGTTGCCAAACTCAGACATCAACAAGAGTGGAAAGACTTAATTACGTCAAACTGTTTGCAAAGAGAAGCTGATTATCATATTTCGAGCGCTTCAGACCTTAATTTCTATTGTTGAGCAGAATTTCAATAAATATTGGTGATATCAAATGCATTGAGCGTTGATATTTTTATTATGTATGATCTACCTCTGAATAAAAAGGAAAATTTAATAAACTAAAATGTAGGGAATTCAAATTTGGTTACCTTTTCCTGTCCATGGGGCTTCAGCACCTGCAGTCAGTCTTATAAAGACTAATTAGGTCAAGATAAACAAACCCTTCATACACTGAAAAGGAGAAAATACGATATGTTGATACCCCTACAAACAGGTGTATCATTTTTTGGGTGATTCTAAACTATGTAATATCGTATTCCTGCTTAAGAAAGTCAATAGGTCTGTCTTGTTGAAGAACAACATTGAAATTTCCTAGTTGCTGAGTTTACATATATAATTAGGTATTTAATGTCAAACCGCACGTATCCGTGCAGTGCCTCTCTAATAGCTATAATAGATTGCAAAACTCGCTGGCAGGTTAATTATTGGTCGTCATCGTCTGTAGGTTCTCTTTGATTTCAGCAGTGCATCGTCATCGTTAGCAGAATGCTTCACATCTATTGGAGCTTGTTTTATAGCGATCGAAGAAAAACTGATTACAAAACAGCTTTCGAACTATATTTCATGGAGATTGTGACGAGTTTGGCATTCAAGATCGACGAAAAAACTTTCGTTAAACTTTTTGTTTTTGTTCCTGTTAATTTTCACTAAAACAGTAAAAAAGACTATGGGAAAATGTTCTTGAACATGGTTATAATCCAGTTATCTACAAAAATGCTTCCTGTGCCAAATATAAGAAGATACGTATAATTTACCATATCGGTCCAGCGGCGAGGATTTCTTTCCCAACATGATCAGTTCATGTGGTTGTTTCGATGTGTTTTGTTAAAGCCGAAAGATAAATAGGCGCCACATTGGCTAATGAACGGGTGACACATTGTTTTCCATTTAAAAATGCGTTGCTCGTTGAAAAAAGGAAAGTGAAAAAAAGGAACTGAGCAA